GATACTTCTTTCAAACGTGTACGTGAAAGAAATATCACCCTTCAAACATGTTAAAAGGGTCGTGTCTGGAGCAGGCGCCCTGCCTGAGGTATGGTGATTGGCACCCCAACCGCCGTCACGCTAGACACAATTGCCAGACGTGGAACAGAATGTTTGGGGATCTTGTAAGTTGTTTAAAAAGGGCAAAAGTCCTCTGCAGTTATTTCCGTTAGTGCGTCCAGGGCATGCGAGTTCTGAGCGGGGTGGCGTAATGGCCTCGTAAAATCTCGTTTCCATATAAGGCGATCTTCTAGCGTTATATCGGACAGACAGCAGATCGACTTTGCTGTGTCAACTCCACGCTGCTCTGCAGCTCTATTTTTCAATTAAACTTTTCATTAGCTATCATGACTTGGTCTCTGTACTTGAAACCTCGCCCAACACCACGCTCCTCCGGAACTGTGAGGCTGTCGCTGGGCGGAAGGTCACATATTTTTGCATCCTCTAATGGAAGCATTTGTAATATGCCTGCAATGCTGCTAGTAGCACGCACACCTGCAGCGAAAAGGCAATTACCAACTGTTAAACATAACTGTTAATTAAACATTTATTTTAGTAAGATAATCGTTCTCATATTATTCTATATATTTTTTATTCCATTTAAGTGAATCACTATACACCACAAAATGAATTTGACAAATGCAACGGTATTAATCTGAAATGTTAAAATATTTCAATAACATTAAAGTAAGTCAAATGTTCAAACTATTGCTCTAACATATAAATATCTACTATTGTAATATCTTATAGTAGTCGGTAACAAGATGTAGTATAATCTTTGGCCAAGTGAACTTCCTCGCTTTATCAGTTTTTTTTGTCAGTCTTCGCCTGTCCTTGAGCAAATGCTAGATGGTCCTTAAAAAAATTCTTCTTCCTCTAGAAGTTTATAATTTATATTTTTCTCAACTGTCATTTTGTGAACATTAGGAGGAATGTAAAGCATCCCTGCAGTGGTTAGGTCATAATCTTCCTCCAAAAACTGAAAGAAGTTCAGCAGTTGATAGAGGATTTTATTTTCAACTATCATCCCAAAATAAGCACAAATTTTACAGAAGTTAAATTATTACTCTTGAAGCATTGTTTATATAAAGTTGCAACAATGCAGGTTAAGACACTATCTTCAAGATCAAGTAATTAGATCAGGAAGAGGAAAATGATACTGTAGTTATGTCTATTCCTCAATGCTTACATTCCACTTGCATTTGTTCTATCATTACTAATGCCAAAGTTGCACAAATGTAAAATAGTAAATTATTAATATATTATGTAAGGACTTATCTACATAATAAATATTCTAAAATGATAAAAGAAATTTCAAGCAAGTTAGTAAAGTATTGCTTGAAAATTAAAAATTGAATATCAATAACACAATCCGTTACATTATCTTCAAATTTCAAAATTAAACAAAGCCAAGTCTACTCTCAAATATGAATGAAAAGAGCAAAAACTGATCAAATAGCATTTCTTCTTAGTGCAGTCACTAAGAATATACATAGTTGCGTGAGCTCAACATTGGAATTGGGTTAAGGAAACAAAACCTCTATGGCCAAGTGCGGCATCGGTGTTTCAATTTCTGCATTGAAAATTAATAATTTAAATTTCATGGGCTCTAGAAACATGTAATGTTCTTTGTGCTCCGATACATGCCCTCATTTTTTCGCAAAAAAAAACGACTACTCCTTACAAAACCTGATGCAAACCATAACATTTCTCTGGTTTTGATGAATCATAGTACAAAATTTCATTACGGTCAGATTAAAACTGTAGTTGTCAATCAATTTGTCTTTCAATGAAAATTGCATCAAAATAAGTTAGCCTGACTCTGCCATCTATAGTTTATCAAACAGTGCTAATTTATTTATTGTTAAATTATTTTTTTGGTTTTATAACAACCCAACCTGAAGACCACTGAACTCTTGACATAATCCACCAGTTGGGAATCGCCTAGTTGAAGAAATTGAGGATTTGTATATTTGTTTTGAAAGGACAATATTGATCAGTTTCATGACCGTTTTTGTTGTGGCACTTCAATAAAAAAAACACTTATCTGTTTTAGTTTATTGTTAAAATACATAAATGGATTATTCACATAATATAGGGACTAAATGTACAAGGCACTCACCAATCTACAACTCCATTATCGTTTTTAACTGTATGGCAAAGTTGTACAAATGCTGACATCTTATATTCACAATACACATTATATTTACAATTGTTTTCATAATTCCAAAAATTGTGCACAGATTATTTAACAACACCACAAACGTTACGGTACACATTTTTGTTACAAAACATATTCATTTACAATAAAAAACTAACAGCTAGACAAGACAAGAGAATCGCCACCATTGGATTAATACATTTTTAAAAAATATGCAAATATTTACAATAGTATCAATGCAGTGTTAATCATTATAAAAGAAAATCCTACTTTTGGAATTCTTTCAGTTTTCTGCTGTGAATTATTTTCACTGCATTGCCTGTAGGAAATAAAAAATCATTGTCATTAGAAGTAAAAAACATCCTTACGGAAAAGAATAAGAGATATTTTTCTCGCAGTAACATATTTGACATATGAGCGAGACCTCTCTTAGGTTAAATTTCATTTTTTTGTACAGATCTCCACAAGACCTTCAACATTTCAAATATCAATTCATTTAACTTGCATGTAATATCAAGCTGAAAGATTCACTTTAACCTTCTTAATCTTGTTTAACCATGAATGGTAAAGGCTCTTGTTATTTGTTAAGTTGCGTAACTAACTTGAAAATAAAAGGTAAAAAAATATTAGTGGAAATCAATATGAAGTTTTTTCAATACTCCAATAATACCAAATTTTCCATTTTCAAATATTCTAGGTCTATTAATTTTCTTAGAACACCACCAAGGTCTAAGTGTAGGGAGATGACTCTTCATTGGAGTTGCTGAAGAAGACCCTGGAGTATGAACATTCCAAGATTTAATTTTTGTGTAACATTTCAGTAATTGTGTGGATATAATCCTGGAATCTCTCAAGATCTGAAACATAAGTTATATTATTTGTTGATAATGAGAACAACGAATTACATCTTTATAATTCACAGAAGCTAAGTTACTTTGGTTTTTTTTGTTAGTGACTTCTTAAAAATAAATTATGAAAAGTAATATTTGAAACATAATTATATAATTACAGCCTAGATTTCTATGCAGTAGAAATGCCTAAAATGCATGATAAATATGTAAAATATGCAAAAAATACACAGTAAAACAATTCAGATGGAAAATATTGTTTATTAATAAAAAGCAAATCAAAATATTTGTAGAAAAAAACTGAATTATGGAATGGCAGTGTTGCCTCTTTAAAATGGTCATCAGAACAAAAGAATCTTCGGTAGAAAAATATTTTTTGAAAATAATTTTAGTATTTTTTAATTTCACTAATTAACCATGCATTGGAATGTTGTGATTTGTTCTTGTTGTAACATTTGAGAATATGGAGATTTAAGAAAAAAGTACATAAATTCATTGAACAAGGAACATTCTATATTTAGGCCAAAAGTTATTAAAATTTAAGACAAGATACATTTCTAAATTCGTTTCTGAAAAAGTGGTTCATAGCACATGCCTGTGAGCAAGTGGCATTGCTACCTGATAGAGAAATCTTTCTAGGGTAGGCCCTTCCCATGACCAGCGGGTACATGGTGCAGTGATGCCCAAGCATAAGATCTCACTGATAGGTAAACTATTCTTGACAGATAAGAAAATCATGTCTACCACTCAAATGATTATATTTCATTTGAGTTTGAGACACTGAGCGCAACAACCTGTGCCCCCTCACACAAAATTCTACTTTAACTTTGGTTGTGCATGTAATACAAGTGAAATACACAATATCTACAACCATTGATGACTGTTTTGAGCCTTAAAGAACATTCACCTCTATGGTGTCTGGGGGGAGGGGGGGACAGAAAAAAGAGGGGGAAATTGTCTACTTGTCCCTACTCTTCTCTTAGCTAATAACAATAACATACTGCAATTTCTGTCGATTTCAACACATCTCAGTCAATGGGCAATGCCCCCAGGTGCTTCATTTGAAGTACCACAACATTATTCAAAATCACAGAGCTTCAGGTGAGACCAGACAGATCAACCACCAAGTATTCAGTTTGGAAAAAATCCTAGTGTATGTGTTAAGTATAGCTCACAATAGGCAGATGTTTTGAAAACCAATTTTCTGGTTTCAGAACCCCAAAATGCACATTTATGTTAAAATCTCAAAATCTATTTTTCACAGCATGTCAAATTTCTCTACATTCCATACATACGTAAGTGTACAAGAATGTAAGATGCTATGCTCTTACAAAATTAATAACCGTTTCAAAAATAACAAAATAAAAATAATAATTATAACAATAAAAAGGCCGTACCTGAGCAGTATTACAATCTTGAGCAAGCAGCCACCACACTGTACACACATGACAGAACGTTTCTTCTGTTCTCTTTGTGCACCAAATACCAGTCAAGTCTACTAAACAAGGGATAGTCCTCTCATTCTGAAATTATAAAAATAATGCTGATACACAACTGTAAAATGATTCTGAATTTCAAACCATTTATATTTAAAGATGAGAATTTATTATTAAAATCTGGATTTAAAATGTATATGTAACAACAAACATTTTTTAGATAAATTGAAATACAGCTGCCTGTAAAGACATCTTTCTTCAGATTCCAATACTAATTTGAATACGTGAGAACATAAATTTCAAGAATCATGTTAATATGGATAATCAAAATTTCAAACCTTTAAGAATCAGTGAAAGAAACAATTCAAATGATTAATAACCAGGAACTTCACATTCCTTTTCTTGACACCACCTCCTTTGCTGTTCTAAATCAGTATAACCTAATGTTTTTGGTCAACAAATCAGAACTGAACAGATCTTTTGTCAGTGCTCTTACCAACTTCAAGAATTCTTCTTTGTAGATGGTACCTGTTATTTTTCACACGTCACCTTCTTAAGGGGTCAGGAGATGTTGATTCCCACCTTTCAATCCACCTTTTCTTTGCTCTACCTGGATCCCGCTTACCTAAGGGTATTGCTATTTTGATCAGTCTCCTATTATCTACCCTGTCCTGTTCATCCCAGCCCTATTCTTCTTGTTCTTATGAATTTTACTATGTCCGTTGCACCACACTCATTCCTTAATTCCATTGATTAATTTTCTATTCCATCTTGTTTTTCTTTTTATTGCTCTTAAAGTACTCATCTCTGAAGTTCTAAGTACAGTTTTAGTTTTTCTAGTATCTGCTTCACAAGTTGTAACTAGTCTTACTATTGTGTTGTATACTTTTACTTTACTTTCTGTATTAAGATTCTTATTTCTCCAGGTTACATGATAATCCAGCTCCTTTGATAACTTACTCCATTGTCAGTGTCCCTCATGCATGGGATTTCCACTCCTAAACATGTGGTTTTCATGACTTCTTGGATTATTTTATCCTTCATCCCCAATGGATAAGAGAATGGACAGTGTAAAAGAAATGCCAAGATATGAAATAGAAGTAAAGAATCCCAATAGTGTGCTATGCAGATGCAGCACTAACGGAAAATTCAGAAGGCAATTTACAACGACTTCTCCACACGCTATCGAAAACTACAGAACAATATGACATGATTATATCAACCGAGAAAACAAAATCAATGGTTATTTCAAAGGATCCAATAAGGTTTAATTTATCCAATAACCTTATTTAATCCTTTGAAATAATTATTGATTTTGTTTCAATAAAATTTGGCCAAAATAAATTCACCAACTACCAATTTTTTATCCTCTTCCATCACTGAAGGTTCTTGTTCATCAATATCAGTTGGAACTTCATTCTCTTCATTTTGTTCCGTCCAATTCAATGTTCCATCTTGACTAGATGTTGCCTGAATATCATCTGTTAACATCAAGAAAATCCTCATCGGCTTGTTCTCTTCCGGCTATCGCAATACTTTAGTCTGGAGCCATAGCCAGATATTTTCTCCTTGCAGGCAGGTTGGTAGTGCTCCCAAACTGCTGTTCTTTCAAACAGTTTGCAAAAAACTCTCAATTTTCTGTGAATAATCATCATTTTCTTTTGGCAATCAGTTGAGACCATTTTTCTGCTTAAAGAGTAAATGCCTGTGGCACAGAATCCACTCGTGAAGTTTCGTTTTATTCCTGAAGATAGTCTTTATAAGCATGATTATGCTTGGGAGCCACTTTATCTTATATCAAAAGTCATTGATTATATGGACAAAGGAAAAGTATCTTTAACAAAATGAAGAGACACAGTTGCTAATCTCTGGTTTTGTACTTTCCGTAAAGTCAATATTTGATGCCACACTGACTTCATTGGACAAAATAGCCTCATCTAAGGGTTGTGTAAGATGTGTGGTATTGGGGATCAAGCATTCTATGTTGTTTTCTTGACAAATGTTTAAGTCCTGATCATCGATATGCAATAAAGAGTAGACTCCAATCACAGCTCTTTTTCATGGCAACCTTTTGACATGTGGTAAGAAATGGTCTAGAACCAATGTCTGAATGTGACTGAATCTATTCAGTCACTGACAGTTCTGTTGAATCTTAAACCTTGTGAACGGCAATGTCAATCTTGTCACAGCAGTTCAGATCCCTGGATGCTTTCCTTCCATGTATCATATCAACTTAAAAAAAGTAGAGCATAAATTTATGAAATGTTGCTTCGATATTGTTTCATTGTGGGGTGAGATTGATCAGTGATCAATTGAACTCTATGTACAGTAGAGTTCAGAGTTCTCCGGCTCTGTGACGTCATGCGATTACGCTGTGGCAATCAGTGACGACGGAGAGGGTAGAGTGGGGATACGGAGGAAGGTGAAGCAGAGAGTGGGGAGGAGATGGATGAGTTACTATTCAGTTAAAAACATTTTGGTCTTACCTACAATCACTGTCTATCGATGAAGCTATCGGCTGTTTTCACTTTCTTCACACTCGTTATCGCGAGTCATACTTTATAACAATACTCTCTATAATGTCCGGCACTATACATCCCTTTCCCATATTCATTTTCTAGTTTCGTACTGAGCACAATACCCCATCAGTCTTCGTAGTGACTTGTGTGATAGCCCGGTTTGTAAGATTCTAACAATTTTGCTTGCGACATCTGTCCGCCCCCGCCCCCGATTACATTTCTTTCCTTTATAAGTCTCTTAATTTTTGGCCCACAGCCATTTCCATGGGAATCAAGTTCACACATGTAAGGAGGGAGACGAATGACTGAATGCCCCTACTGGTTAACAGGCTCATCATTTTGTAAATTTTGTCGCTTAGGTTTTTAGCTGCAGAATAGTGATGTAATTCAGGCTTCCTCAGTTTTTCATTAACGTGCAATCCTTTTGGGCATTCACCATTGAATCAAATCTCGCTTTACTGAACTATGCAGTTGGGGTTTTATTAGCTACTAGCACTATGATATGGGCATTATCGAGCACAATTACTGCATTAGAAGGCAGGTTTTTCTAAACATTTGTTCCCTAACGCACGTTTTCCAAAATTTTCTTGGTTCATTTGACCATGATAATCACCTGAATGCAGACTCAGCTTGACCAAATTAGTTCCGCCGGCCATTAACTGAAACCATTGTTCCACGCACCGTGAACTACAATTAGTCTAACTGATGCGCTTATGTTTGCGTTACACCAATTATATCATCATGCTGCCCAGCACGTTTTTAACTAACAAGGCTTGTTGTCATCCACGTTTTCGTCAATATACACTATTTCGACGGCCTTCTTCCTTAATTTTCCTTATTGGACGGAGTATTTTGATCTCAGGCATCAACAATGTCTGCCCTTTCGATCAACACTTTACGTTTTGAATTACCTTATCTTCGCATCTGAATTCCCATCTCTTTCCATCAACCTCCATAGTGACTTTTCTCCTCAGGAAAATGTGATCTTTTCTTTATTATGGGGCAACATTGTTGATACCGTGGCCACTTGGCTTTTCATCGACATAGAAATGCAAAGATAGCGTTTCTGATAACGCGCATGTCAAACTCCTCTATTTTCACGCGTTGCGACGAGACACTGTCTTTTCTTTCCGGGTGAAATAACACCTGTCAGACTTCCTTCATTTCGTATATTATGTTTCCTTTCCGAAATTGTTTTTTAACTAGTTACACCAACACCGCAGTATATACCGCTGCCTCTTTCGGTGGGCTTTTGTCAGAGGAACTAGGCAGATGATTTTTTTCTTTTCTTTATCGGCATGCCTCAATTTACACTTGCTATGGTATCTCCCGACCTCAACGTCGTGAATTGTCGAATTCGATTTCCTTTTTCGGCCATTTCACGTATAACATGTCGCCGCACTCTGATCACAACTGAGCTGAATTGTTTGCGAAACCAATCGCAGTAACAGAGTACCCGCTCGCTCTTCCTACAGGCCCACATATGAGTCACGATCGTCAGTCAACCAATCTTTACAGCCCATCGCCTTATCGCGCTCCCTCCTCCCCGCGGAGAAACGTAGACCCCTCTCACAGGGTCGGAGAACTCGGAACCAAACAGTACTGTGTCAATGACATCCCATGGTATAATTGGTATGTAAGGATAGGTAAATAAAATATAACAAAATTGGATACAGATCAAACCTATTGTCTGATATTTTTCAGACAAATAAATGTATCTATGAGAATTATAATACCTTCGTGGCCTAGATGTTTTGTAGGTGTTGTAAATTCACTCAAATAACTACTAATGTTTAAAATTAAATTTCAATTCACTGTACATTCCTATTGGCTTCACCAGCTGCCTTATTGTTAAGTCAGACTCAGTGCTACCAACAATGCAAAAAAATAATAAGTGTTCAGAAACTCAAAATATTAATAAATATGACGCAGGAGGAAGTTTCAATCACAATAACCCCAGTCTATGGTACTTCACAATCAGTAACATTAATCTTTAGGGTATCAGTGATTTTGTGATTGTATCATTCATGAGTATTGGAGGAAGATTTGCACAATAGAATGAAACTTTTTGCTATTATGACAACGATTGTGAATTGACAACATGAAACAATTAACTTAGATGGGCACGGGTGGCAGTTGGAGAAACACACACAGGTTAACTAATTACCATATCCTATCACAGAATATTCTCTTTGCATAAAATCCTGGGTATAGTTTACGCACTACTGTGAAACTGTTATGTTATTTTATATTATGTTAAGTTGGAAGATGTGATCAAAATCTCTTCTTCAAAAGAAAATAAAGAAATAAAAAATGATATGCACATACTATCTAATTCACATATTTCCACTTATTCTTGGTGTTCACCGCAGATTTTCTCAAGCAATTCACACTGATTTTTGAATGAGCTGGTAAAGAGAAAATCTTAAGCAAATGACATTGCAATACATGAAAAGCAATGTAAAACACACGCACTTTCAGTTCACCACCTAACAAAGAAAGTAACAGAGAGGGGAGAGAGAGAGAAAGAGAGAGAGAGAGAAAGAGAGAGAGAGAGAAAGAGAAAGAAAGAGAGAGAGAGAGAGAAAGAGAAAGAGAGAGAGAAAGAGAAAGAGAGAGAGAAAGAGAAAGAGAGAGAGAAAGAGAAATAAAGAGAGAAATAGGATAAAGAGACAAAGTAAGCAATTATATGCGTGATAAGAGTGACACAAACAATGAATTTAATTATCAAGAAAATAGAAGTTCAGGCAAAAATATTTTAAATTCTTATCAACAAGACTACTTACTAACCAATTTGACAATTTGCTATTTTACTTTTCCTGAATAATCATTAGTTAAAAAAGGAAAAAAGACCTCTTCAAAAGTCAGGGAGTTGACATATATTCAGGAGTGTATGTACTTTGGCACAACAGCTCTTTGCGAGCTAAGGCCTACCAGAAGTGTCCCGGCCTTGCGGCCACGGGTTAAGGGGTATGTGTGGTTAGCACATAGCCATCCCTAAGCAGTATTCTGGTCTTCTCAACCTGCGAAGTGAGCTTTCACAGCAACAGATACTGCAGGTTAGCAAGGAAAGCGCACAATCTAATTTTGCCCCGACCGGGAATAGAACCTGGGGTTGCGCCGTGGAAAGCAAGCACAGTAACCAATGAGCCATAAGGTCAATATATATAGTCAGGCAAATATGGTAATTTATTTGAAAACTATTTTGAGATTTTACTACCATCAGTATCAGAATATAGATTTTTTCATGAAAAGTTTAAAGCCCTTAACATTTCCTGTATGATTTAGTTAAATTACTAGTTAATTACTAATTGGTCAAAACATGCATGCTCATATACGAACATGACAAATGAACTGGAAAGGTACCCAATACTTTCTATGTGGACATTTGTGAGTTGCCCAACGAGCCAATCAGGCTCTTTTTTCCTAGGAAGAAATTAATTTTCAGGACTTTGTTATAGTGAACTCTGATATAATGAACCTAGGAAATACAAACTTCTTATGCTTATTTGTAATGTTAGTGAAACAGGACTAGAGACTCAACTAACTTCACTATATTCAAGTGAACTAAAACTCGAGTCAATTTTATATCTTTGTATTGTATTATATTGACTTCTTTTTTGAGTCTGTATTTCATTGCAAATGAAATACACACACATTTGTTTATTTTATTGCAAATAAATCATTTTAATATTAATATATCAAGAATCAGATGTCATTTTCATTACCTCCAGAACACGTTGGTTGCCGAAAGGATGGCGCAAAACATGTGTTAGTGTTTTGAGCAGGACACATATTAGATTTTCCGCTGGCAATGAACGATTCATAGCTCCCAGCAACAGAATCACTGTATCCAAATGAGAACTAGATAAAAATTCTTTACATATTTCTGGAGAAAGTCTTACAGCAGATTCTGTGAACAAAGATTTCACCATAAAAGAAGTTTATTAAAAGAAATAGAATCAAAAAGTTTTAATTACATTAGTGAAAATGATCTGAATTCAAACCAAAAGGTTCTTAATTTCATAAATGCATACAAGTCGTGATCACTACAATGTAACAACTTGAATCCTTCACAACAATAAAAAACAGTCTTAAGATTTATTTTGTACTGCCTCACCAAACTAACAGAAACTAATAAATACTTACCAATTAATAGCCCAGCATTCAAAAGGACTGTGTAGGAAAGAGACGGGCTTGACTGAAATGATGACAGAGCTTTTGAATACACAGTTCTCAAAGAAAATCTTTCATCCAAGACATATTTTGAAGTCTCAATATGGGGGAGAACATGACTGATATTCACTTTCTTCCTTACTCTTATGCCTCGCCACCATGCCTGAAAATTTCATGTCCATTATTTCGATTCATGGCCTTATTCAGGCAAGCAGGGTCCATTGGACCCAAAAGCAAAATTTTCAATATTTTACGTGAAAACTTTCAAAGTTGTTGGGATATATTTTGTTACTGCTGTAGTGTTTTTTAAATGTACCCACAACCATTTTAAGAAATTGCAACTAAATAATTCATTTAAAAAATATTAATTTTTTTTCAACCACAATTGGGCAAGTGGAGTCCATTGGACAAGTCTCTTAATCTATGTGTAATATTGCAATTTCTGGTTTTGTTTGGTCGAATACACGAGGACTGCTTCGTGTTGATGCATGTAACGCCTTTTCATTAGATTGTTATCTGACACTACGAGTGAGCGATTCTAAGAATATCTTCATAGACAAGAGTTGCTGCGGGTTAGTAGGAATATATATAAAAACTGTTTATAGTGGGAAAACTATGTTGCTACTGAAAGAATTTGGTTTGTAAAGAAATGTAAGGAGATAGTCCAGCAAGTGTCACCTGTCAATCGCACATGTTATCAGGGAAGAAGCTTCCACAACTCTAAAAATTAATAACAATGCCAAAAATGTCATTTGTGTCCTTAGGAAAGAAGTAGAAAACTTGTAGCATTTGTTCAAAACCTGTCTGTACTGAAGAAAAAAAAAAACAGTGTGGTAAACAGTGTGTGAGATTAGTAATAAAGAAAAAACGGTTTAAAAACCAATATGATATTTATTGGTTTTTAAACAGTTTATTTATCATATATTTTGAAAGGTTTTGTTAAAATAAACAACTATATTAGAGCATTGTTTCATTATCAACACCCAAAATGTACACCTGTAATCATAATTCCGTGGCGGACACTCCTGGGTATGCTGAACCCCATCTGCCTGGTCATGATTGAAGAAAATCAATCCTATCATATAGTAACTGGGGATTCTAGGCAGTCCATTAATGATATCATAATAGCTGTAGTCAGTAGAAGATGCATCCACCAAGAAGCAGGTAGGGTTTCTTGTTTTTGTCCAAGGGATATGAAGATAGAGAAAAAAGTTCAGGACAATCAAGGAGATCATGTAGTATTTTATGGAAGAAAATTAAATCCTAGAATTTTCTACTGCCCTGAAGTTTCCAATTTAAATAAATTTTAGAATCTGGAAAGGTCAAGATCAAATCTATTATTGGTGTATCATGTCTGAAAGCTAGGTAGCCAAAATTATTAAGTATTCTTTGTTTGGTTGTAGTTATACCATAACAAATTTTATTTAGATACACTTCAATAGTAACGGTTCTCAAAATCTCAAATCAAACCTTTGCAATTCAAGCACTTTTCCCCCCCAAAAAAATTTGAATTATACATTTTTCCAAAATTGGAGCAAAATTTGTGGTCATGAGTGACTAAAAAGTGAATTCAAACAGTATATTATATCTATATATACACACACACATACATTCATACACTTTGTATTTAGATTTAATTTTTTAAAAAAGAGAGAAAGGGGGAGAGAGAGAGAGGGAGGGGGAGAGAGAGGCAGAGAGAGGGAAAGAGAGGCAGAGGGAGGGAAAGAGAGGGGGAGGGAGAGAGAGGGGGAGAGTGGGAGGGAGAGAGGGGGGAAGATAAGAAAGGAAAAAGGATTGGCAAACTATGTACGCTCAGTTGGCTTTCAGGAACAGTCAGACTGAATTTACCTTCCCCTACAGAGTATCCAGAAAAAATATGTTGCAATGAATGATGAAAAATCTTCTTTCAAATAACTCTTAATTCAAAAAATATCAAACTTACCTGAATTTTTGTAGCATAATTTCTGAGAATAGCTTGTTGTTGTTGCTCTTCAAGCTGTTTTTCAAACTCCAGCCGCTTAGCTTCTTCTTTCTTTTGAAGAATAGAGTAGTACCATTTTTCAATTAATCTGACAGCTGCTTTTTCTCTTGGTTCACAAATAATCGGCAAATTTTCTTTGTTATGTAAAGATTTATTTGTGCTGCTTAAAATTACTCCTTGTCTGGAGCTCTCAACTCTTTTTCTTTCAATAACACATGTACGATACCATGCTTGAATCTTCACAGCAGCAATAGAATGAATTCGCTTTGTTTCTCTTTCTTTTCTCAACTCCAAGAATTGAAGTCTTAGTTGTCGCTGAATCAAAACATTTCTGAACCACCTCTGTATTTTTAAAGCAGACATCTCTTTTAAATGATGTTCAAACTCCATTTTACGACGTAAACATAATGCCTTGTACCTCTGCTGTATTATAATCACAGCATTTCTTTGTCTCAAATACAGACTTCTCTGCTTCCTCATAAGCATAGTTGCTCTAAACCAGGTTTGAATCTTAATAGTACTGCTATGCAGCTTTAAATAGTGTTCCCTTTCTTGTTTCATAAGCATAGCATAATGATACCATGTCTGAATCTTCACAACAGCATCTCTCTTCTCCTTAAAAGCTTTTCTATGTCCTTGGATCACCTTTCTTCTTCTATAGTACATCTGGATCTTTTGGACAGCAGTTCGTTGCTTGACGTACATTATTCTTTGTTTTTTCATAGCTAAGCATGCCCGATACCATTGCTGAATTTTTAAAATTGCATCTCTTTTCACCTTAAATGTTTTACGATATTGTTGCATCAACTTTATACTCCTATAATAGGCTTGAATCTTTTGGGCAGACATTTGATACCTAATGTACCGAATTCTTTCTTCTCTCATTGCTAAACAAGCACGATACCATTGTTGAATCTTTAAAATTGCAATTCTCTTTTCATTAAATGCCTCCTGGTGTTCCTTCATAATTTTCCTACTTCTGTAATACGTTTGAATTCTTCGAGCAGCTGTTCGTAGTTCGACGTACTGAACCCTTTGTTTTCTCATTGCTGAACAAGCACGATGCCATTGTTGAATCTTTATAACAGCATCTCTCTTCTCCTTCAAAGCTAACTTATGTTCCTGCATCAGCTTTCTACTTCTGAAGTACAACTGGATTTTTTGCACCGCTATTCGTTGTTTGACATACATCGATCTTTGGATTCTCATCGCCACACAAGCACGATACCATTGCTGAATCTTCAAAACTGCATTTCTTTTCTTCTGAAAGGTTTGACAATGCTGTTGCATCAGTTTCCATCTTCTATAAAAAGCCTGAATCTTTTGGGCAGCAGTTCGCTGCTGGATGTACCACGTTCTTTGTTCTCTCATTGCTAGGCAAGCTCGAAACCATTGCTGTATCTTTAAAACAGCATCTCGCTTTTGCTTGAAAGCTTTTCTAAGTTTCTGCATCAACTTTCCACTTCTATAGAACACTTGGATTTTTTGGACAGCAATTTGTTGTTTAATATACATCAGTCTTTGGTCTCTCATTGATAAACAAGCACGATACCATTGCTGAATTTTGATAATGGCAATCCTTTTCTCAATAAAAGCTTTCTGATGTTCCTGCATCTTCTTTCTATTTCTGAAGTACAGCTGAATTGTTTGGGCAGCACTTAATTGTTTCATGTATACCATTCTCTGTACTCTCATTGCCTTACAAGCACGATACCATTGTTGAATCTTTAATACAGCATTTCTTTTCTCTTTAAACACTTTTTGATGTTGCTGGATCATCTTTCTACTTCTATAAAAGATTTGGATTTTTCGAGCCGCTGTTTGTTGGCTGGTGTAAAGTAATCTTTGTTTTTTCATTGCTAAGCAAGCACGATACCATCGCTGAATCTTTAAAACAACAACTAGTTTCTTCTTGTAGAACTTATCTCTGAATCTTTTCTGTATTTTGATAACAGCACTTCTCATTTTGAGATATTCTCTCTGCTGTTCCCTCACCATCATTAAAGATTTGTACCATTTCTGAATCTTGTAAACACTGGAAATGCTAACTTTATACTGCTTGCGAGCTATGTAGCCTCGCCAATGTTTTTGAATCATTATGCTAGCTCTATCTTCAATAACTTTTCTTCTTGTGGCATCTTTTCTGATCCAAATTCTTCTTGAAATGCAAATGTGCAAAGATCTATACCAATTCTGAATTGTGTTTGCAGCACTAACAAAACGTGAAAGCTGCAATAAAAGAAGAAACATTAGTACAACTATCTTGCAAACCTGTCTGTTTGAAAATAAAACAAGATTATTAAATAGCATACTTCACCTGAAATTTGTAAATTATTTGCCACAATAATGACATAGTCTTTTCTCTATGTCCTTCTACTATGTCTTTTGCAGTTATATCCCCTTCTACAACATGGCCTGCCTTACTCAAAGCAGTCAGGGCCAATTTAACATTATGCATTTTCTGAAGTTTAGATATTGCAGGAGTGCGCAGGGATGTAGACAGGGATTCTTGCAAAATAATTTCTGTCACTTTACTGTAAAAAAATTAAAAGATGTTTTATAAAAGGCCAAAACACAAAACATTTTCTCCGGAAAACAACCACAGTCCGACATTAAATCCTTGTATAACCAAATGCGACTATTCTAATTTGAAGATATAGAAATATTTACACTCAGAACATCAAAATAATCAACACAAATTAAATATTATTGGTCAAGACAACCACAGGCCATATTTATCTATTCTTTAGAATTGGAATCTTTCAGTGGAGTGAAGAATTAATTGAGGTATTTGGGGAGCAAGAAATGAAGTGACGCAAGTTTACAGAACACATGCACCACCATGAAGTCAGCTAACTGTTTAAATAGTATTTTATCATATTATAATTTTCATACTGAGATGTAAAAAATTAATAAGTTCGAGAAATAAAGACACACAGAAAAAACGTTAAAAGAGAAATAAAGTTTATGTTAATTACATTCATACGGGTCTAAGTGCCAAAACCATGATTTTGGAGCTGAGCTGAATTTTAAATGGATCTACGAGCCCATGGCAATGATTTGCCATGTGAGTCAGCGGAAGCTGTATTTGTTTTAAAAAATTTCAAGAGGTTGCCGAGTCTACCTCTTAACACAGTTCTCTATTCTTTTTACTTTTGCTAGAAATTTAAAAATACTTTTGCTAAAAAATATTAACATTTCATTTTAATATATGTTAAAATATATTTTACATAAGTTTCATGTTTTTTAGGGACTCACAAGTCAGTAATTAAATTATTTCTAGTGTGTAAATAAGGGTAACAGACAACACTGCCAAATTTCAAATACAAGAATTGCAAAAACCAGACTTCAACAAATTTGAATGCAGTTAACATTTTTTCCTCTCTTGCAAAGTTAAAACCTCGTGCTATCACATGGTGTATTTTATCCACAAACACAAATGTTACCAGCAAATTCGTGAGATAAGAGAAAAATTGTCAGCATTTTGATACCATTTGTGTAAATACTCACGTCAATCTAATGCCATCCCGTAAATCAGATCCCAGATGTCTAACAGCATAATTAAACTCATCAAGATAAGTTTGCTTGTGTTTAACAATGTAACCCAAATTTCGAAGGTGTTTAGTAATATCACCAATACCAGATAATAACTCTCTTGCAAAGGCCAGAAGCAAATCACGGCTTTCCTGTAAACAATAAATCCAATTTATTAAGCTAATTCAATAACTATAGAAATTCAGATACTACTTGTAACTACATCACTTACCTTGTATTGAGCATTTTTACAGAAGAGACAAGGGTTGTGGAAAATTAGTTTATTCTCCTTCGCATAGTCTAGAAAAAACACTAAGAGTAAAAATTTCTTTAAGATATGTTTCTTCATAGCTTCTTCAAATCCTGGTTTAAACATGTTGGTTACTCCAGTGTAAGCATAACGTTCAACTAAATAAGGATCTGAGAGAATGTTTCTGGCAATAAACCCAATTAATCCTACTCTATCCGAATTTGATTCTAATGGAATAGTTCTTCCCATTATTGCTTCCAATCCAATTCTCAACCATAGAGGGTTGTAACATAGCAAGAGCTCGACAGCAGTTGTTTTCAAACCTATGAGAAACAAATTCACACTGGTATACTTATTTGAGTTTCAATGAAATGCTAGAATGAACTATATTGATGATCTTAAAATTTGAATTATTTTCCACTGCAAATAGATTCAGTATCAATAGATAGTTAAAAGTACTTACTAATATCACGAACAATATTTCTGTCTTTACGAACACTTAATATTCCTTTTTCAATCTGTACAATAACTTTTGACAACACTTGTGCAACACAAGGCAAACGAAACATAGCACATGCTTTCCGGCGCACTGAATCAAGTCTGTGGTTAACAAGGTAGCGAGAAGAAACAGTCTCTCGACTCGGAGCAAGTGATAACTCAGAATTACAAGACTTCTTCCAGAGGTCAGCAACATCCACTACATAAAAAAGAAAAATTTAAAATTATTACTCTGAAGTAACTTCATCTTCATTATTTAACTTTTAGATATTCTCAGAAAGAAAAATTAACCCAGAAATAAAACAGTTGAATTCTGTAAAGTGGGCGTATTTTCAACAAATATCCTTTCACGTTTAAAATTACCTTTCGGTAACTCGTCTGAGCTATTGAGCTGCTCCGGAGGTGTAAGCAGCACATTTAGCCAGCGAACAAATTCCTTTTCCCTTTCATCAAACCAACGTTGATCGCAGAATACTGCACTATTAATAAATGGATTTACATTTGTAGCTGTAATACAATAGGATGGATTAGCATGCTCAGCCAAAATCTTCTCAGTATCCATTAGAGTAACGGTCTTTTCCACAGTCCTCTTTTTCGCACTCAAGATAAGCTTTGGGATAGCATGAGTAATATCTTTCTTCACCTTTCTCACCTGGGTTGTTTTTGGTTCACGAGAGCTTGCTGAAAAGATAATTAAAATAATTGAGCTTAACACACAATATTAGTAAATGTAACTGAAAAAGCAACAACACAAATATGCACTCAAATACCTTTGTTCACACTCAAAGGTACGTTTTCATTCAATGGTTTTCTGAAAGTTGTAGAGTTTTTAATTTGAGGAGGTATATTTTCTTTTCTGGAGCTGGGAATTCTTTGTGGCGGAGAAAACATTAGATAATTTGTTTCAATTGAACTTGGAGCAAGTTGAACAAATGAGGAAACAGGCATTTCAGATTTCTTTTTCAGAGGCATCACTTGAGTTGCTGTAAAAACACCAATTTGTAAAGTTTTTATTGCTGCCAAACAGAAGGAATAACAAAACCAAATTAGGATAAAGACTCACAGTCTGATCCTCTAACTCTCTTTGTTGAAGAAGAGTACAGATCACAAGTTTTAAATTCAATGGAGTCATCTATTACATTTGGTTGCACAAATTTATTAGGACAGTCAGCTACAACTTCTGTTCTTTCGATTGGTTCTTGCAAGTTTTCTGAACGTAAAATCCTAGAAGGGTCATCTCTTGAAAATCCCTTGCTAACTAATGGAGTTATTTCAAAATCTGAAAAGAATAATGGCACCCCTTTCAAATAATATAAATTAACTAATTTATTTTTAAAACCAATTGTACTTACTGTGTGCTGATATACGAGGAGTTAACATTTCTGCCTTTTTAATTCTCTCAATAGAAAAATCAGCTTTTAAATTTCTGCAATTCTTTGACGTCTTCCCAGCATTAGAAGAAATTTCGCTATGTTTATTTATTTCCAAAGGTGTAAAAGGTGGGAGAGATACTTCGAAAGTATTTGTACTAATAGGAGGTTGGTTTATTAGTTCATCAATATCAGATATGCCAGATACGTCAATGTCTGAATCCAAATTCTTGAAAGGCTTCTCATGGTTAGATGAAACCCAACCATCTTTATTCACCTGCAATGGTGTAAAAGGTGGGAGCGATATTTCAAATGTATTTGCACAGTTAGGAGGCTGATTTAATAGTCCATCAATATCTGATATGCCAGATATGTCCATAATGTCTGTATTCTTCAAGGTCTTCTCAGCAATAGCAGAACCACTGCTGTGTTTATTTATTTGCAATGGTGTAAAAGGTGGGACAGATATTTCCAATGTAGCCTTATTATAACTATGCTGATTAGTTCTTTCTCCTATTTCAGAAATGCCAGATATATTGATTTCAGTGTTTTCTTTTATAGGAGAAAAATTAAAATTCAGAAACTCTGGGACCTCTTTTTTAACACTAGATATGTTACAGTTTATTTGAGAAGATGCTGATAAAGGTGTATTCAACATTTTGTGCTCTATTCTATCCTTGAAAACTGAAGAATCTTTGAACGAACTATTGTCACATGAAAGGTCTATTTCTACTGTGGATACTTTCAATCCAGGCTTCAAAAAAGATATTTTGTCAACTTCTGACACACTTGCAAGAGGTGTTGATAAAACATATGTTTCACGTGCTGAACCTTCTCGAGGTTTGAATGACTGTGACGGCAGAATGGGACTAAGAACCATGTCAGCAAACATGTTTAATTCTTTCTTCACACAATGGACCTTAGTAGAACCAAATGTGGAAACTGACGCACTTGCAGCTTCATTGAGCTCTAAAGACAAATTTCGACCAGGACTGATCACATCATATGTCTCTGAACTACAATTTTTCAAATCATCTTCACAAGGTACTGTATTTCCAACTTCACTTTTGAAAGATGTCTTACTTGACATGGATACCTTAGTCAAATTTATGTCAGTCTTTGCTGAACTACAATATATATTCTCTTTAGAAAGAACTTTAGTTTTTGAAGACACTGATACTCTACTCAAAGAAGTCTTTTTAACTATTGATTGTTCTTTTTTAAAACTTTGATTACTTCTCAAAATTACACGTTGATTTGAACTCGTCACTTGAGATATTTTACCTTTTTTCTTCAGAGGCTGCAAAAAGACAAGCAACTAATTACAAATTTAATTGCAAGACTTCAGAAATTACAGAACTAAATTACAAAATGATTTCTTTGAGGTAATACTTCATAAAGAATTCTAAACTTATTATGGTTTAGAGGCCCTTCAACGACTAGTCATTGAGAGCCATGAGTAAAGTTCTAATGTACGTGTGTTAAGTTAAATGATAAAGAAACAGAGGAACGAGGAGAACCCAGAGAAAACCTGATGAGAACTCACTTTCTCCTCCACAAATTCTACATAGATTGGTTGAGGATCAAACCCCATGCATATATGCACTAGCTATTTTGCAACTATTTTATAAATAAACTTTTATTTTAAAGATGCAGCTTTTAGTAACTCACATTAGTATAGATAGCACTTACAAATAACTATTGAATACAGATAACTTAGAATTTTATGTAATAATTTAATGTAGCATAAAAATGTTCCTAATACCACTAATACAGATTAAACTTTTGTTTTCTAACAAATGTTTCTTATATTGATAAAATACAGTTTTCAATCTGATTTGTTTTAACAACAACTTATGGAAATTTTCTATTAATAAAAAAAACTTGTAATTTTTTTTGTTTTCTCATTTGTAAACAATAGAATTTTTGCATACTTCAAAACAGGATCCGTTGAAGTAAATCAGCTGTTACGGTGCCATCACATTTACTCAAAAATAAAATATCTCAAAAGGTCGACATTAACCTGTGCTAACATGAGTGTGAAATTTGAATGTTAGGGATGATTGGTTTTGTTGTGTTAATTGAGTGGGAAACTACATGAGTAATATATAATTTTATATTATAATTTTAATTATTTTCACTTCTTAGACTGAGTTATGGTGTTTACTTTTTTTGTGGGTACTTTTTTTCAGTGTTTCTTCCTTGTAATGTGGGTACAGTGAACAACGTTCTGGAACAACCCTATATAAATTGCTTTCACTCCTCATCTATAGTCGTAGTGCATGAAAATCTTGCATTAATGTTTTTGCTTTTTCAGCGCAATCATTCACAACTTTCAACTTTATAAATATCCTTTGAGCTTCTAAATGTGAAGAGTTGCTTGCCAGGTCGAAGGATATTCCACAAAACTAGTATCCATCTTTAGGCAAGAGAACAGAGATCTGCTTTTGGTTGACAATATCAGCCATTTAGACAACTAATGATATTTTTAATTTATTATAAACATTTTTCATTAAAACAATTGCAAATATTTATCATGGAAAATTATTACAAGTTTGGCATCATAACAACCAAAATTATTACAAGTAGTATCAGGTACTACCAACACTAATTGTAGGTGAAAGTAATTAACCAAAGAAAGCATAAAGCGAGTCCAATGAACTCACAGCCTTCTTTAATACAATACTTTGCTTAAGTCCAGTGGTATATGGATAGCATATCAGGCTGTTGTACCCAAATTAGAGGGTTTAAATCTGAGTGAAGCCGTAGATTTTTAAGAATGAAAAATCCTTTGAATGACTTCCTTCGAAGGGCAAGTAAAGCCAGCTGTGCCATGTAGTAGATTTACTGTGTATAAAAGAACATCAAACCTAAAAGAAGCCTCTGAACTGAATTCAAAATCACATGTATGGTCACCTGATACTACCTTTCTCCGCTAGATGATTCTGATGATTCTCCGCTGAGTCTCACTACATAAAATAAGGAATTAACTAACCATTCTTTAACTGTAATATGTTTTCTTCAGTTCTTAACAATGTTCTATTACATTCACCATATACTTTCAAAATGTAAAGTGGATTACTTTTAATTTATTTTTTGATAAAAATACGCTTTGACACCTTGTGTTAAATACGCAAGGTTGGTCCATTGGACTCTTGTGTTTTTATTAACTGTATAGATAATTCCAGTGTACGTTAATTTTTTTTATCTTTCCCGATATCACTATTAAGGACTCATGGTAACACTGATTAAATTAAATTAGAAGCTGTTTACAGTATTTTGATTACTGCCAGGCACATGAAAATGTAAGTAGTTTAACCTTAAGAGCAACATGGGATAAAAAGTATGGTCCTCTGTATTTCAAGCAATAGCGAGTCTTCAACGTTTGAAAGAAATTCTCATCGAAATCAGATTTGATGATAAATGTACTAATTTAGAGAAAAAGACACATGATAATTGGAAATCAATATGTAAAAAAAAAAAAAAAAAAAAAAAAAAAAAAAAAAAAAAAAAAAAAAATCAATTATTCCCTGGGAGCATTTCTGGTGCTCAATGAACAGTTGATACCCTTTCGAGGGTGTTGACCATTTCAATGATATATGTGCTCCAAACCAGGCAAATATGGTATGAAAATTATTTGGACAGTCGTCACCAAAACATTATCCTCTAGAAGGAGTTCTTTATTTTGGAAAACAATGGCACACTAAAACAACAAATGAGAGTCCTTCTGTTGTTATGAAATCAGCTGAACTATATTACACAATATAACTTGTCAATTTTTTAACAAGTCTGGAATGTAAGCAAAAATTTGCTGAAGTCTTAGTACCGTGGCCACTGTCAGAAAAAGCAAGAGATTTGTCCTGTTTGATAAAGGGGAAAAATATTCATATTTTGGTTAAGCAAGCATACTAAGCACACTAGTGTCTTATGTTCCTGAATAAAAGAAAGCTATTGTTTTATTTTCTAGTGTGTGTCATTGCAACATTACTGTTGCAGAAAGAAATATCAAGCAAGATATTTTATTTTACAACAAAACGAAAGGTAGCATAGGTACCCTGGATCAGGTGGTTCATGTATATTCAATCAACATAGGCGAACTCATTGCCAACACATCTGACTTTTGAGTCACAGTTTGCGATTCTTGTCACATGGACAACTTTATAAGCGGATTGGAAACCAAAGTCTATAAAAACAAATAAGAAAAAATACTTTTAGTAGAGATAGCTGAATCTTTGGATAAGAAAAATCTGAAGAAGACCAAAAACAGATTTACATCAGCGTATATTGATGGCCCTGGTAATACAAGTTTAGCAGGCTGAGCAACTTCCCATTCATTCAAGAGTGAAAATAAAAAAAAAGTTGTTATTTGTGCAATCCTAAAAGAGGAAGCAAGCTGTGTCAAACCTGTAACTTACATGAAAAGAATGTGTGTGATAAATATTCTGTCAGTCAACAAAAATGTCTTCAACGTAGTAAAAAAATAAACACTAACTTTTAGTTCTTGAAACATTGTAGGCCCAGAACTCTTAAACACTGGAAGTTTGTTTGAGTGGAGGTGAAGAAAAATAAAGGTTTTTGAAACGAATTTATTTAGTTTCTTATATCACTCCCATAGAGTTGAAATAAAAATAATTTTAAAAAATGGGGGGGTGGGGGGTAATCTTAATGTGGTGAACATAGAAAATTTATTTTTAAACATCTTATACAGTGTTGTTATCCATGACTTTACTGGACTCATTTTATGCTTTCTAGGGTAAATAAAAATGTATGGTAAAGTATAAAATATTCTATATAACTTACCTTCTTTGATATGCTAACACACACAATACTAAAGAAAAACCGAGCGTTTGTATTTGTCTTCAGATGTATTGAGTGTATTGATTTTCCTTCTTTTGTTGGCTGCCAAATTATTTCAAGAGTGGTTTCTTGATGAGGATTGATTTGCCATTTTTTACAGCTAAACTCTACACCACTATCAGGTGGAGGTAGCTTCAATAATTCAACCTAAGATAAATTTCCATAAGTAAAGAAATTCATATCAAATTGATGTTTTGGGTTATCAAAATAAAAAACCTGACATTCTTTTTATATCTACCTCCAGTGCTTCGGTTTGCGGGTTTCGCAAAAGAAGCGTCTTTGAAACTCTTTCTCCAATCGCAACATTTTTAAAAAACACTTTAGGTGCACTTCCAAAAGGACGAAAATTGAGAACTGGTACTTCATCACTGTCCTCAGAGTCCCTTCTTCTTGGAGGCGTTGCCTGTTACAAGTTTTTGAATCATAAGAATCATACATAGTTCTTTAGTATCGTACGTAACAAAAACATCAAGAAACGTAAACCTCACCTCAAAATAAGAGGAAAAAGCCATGGTGACTCTCCACAAACAAGATAATTTAATATATATCAATAATCATAACGAAAAAGTAGATGATAACATAAAATAATTCAAGTAATATCACAAACCACAACTGACACACGGCAGAATTATCACAGCACCACAAAAGCATTCACGCAGCATACACAAACCAGACATCGACATGAGCAAAAACCGCTGAAACTTGTCCTGACCGTCCTGTCACCGTTCAATTCCCAACTCAGTTAACTGCCATTTAAATTTTTCAAATTGAAACGGTTGAGTTTGCATTCCTGCCTTCCACCAATTACCGTACAGAAAAATAGTACGTGATACCACAGCACTAAAAAGAAACAATAAATAAATAACTATAACTTAATAATTTATTTGAAAAATGTGATAAATATACAGGTTAAATAGATCATTTTACTTTCCTAAATCTTACAAAACATTTAGTAGGGCTTCGTAGATATCTGAAGTTTCAAATAGCAAAAGGACTGTTGTGGCAGACGTGCCAGGACAACACAAACACTGATACAGCCGTGACGCGCGTTTCGCGAAATCGATTGAATGCCCGTTCATGTTACAGAATGACTTGTTTACTCGATATTAATCTGTATTTTACGTTATTATTTCAATTTTTATTGTGAATACGTTTTCAATTTTGTAATTCAACACACTGCATTGAGAAAGCAAATTAGTGTGCGGGCAATGTTTTTATTTTTTTTTACTTGTAATCATCTGTCATCACACTTTCGATTCAAGTAAAATCATGAACTTCCTACGCCACTTTTTATTAACCCAACTACTGGAATAATAATATTTTGTATTTATGTAAATATTACACTAGAAAGGATAAAAACACATTCATAAATTTTTCTAACTACTAGTTAATGCACAACCAAATGTTGCGTATACGCAACTGGAACAATATAAAGATATATAGGTACGTATATTCAGTGGCGTCTCCTGCTCAGTGAGCATGAGGATGCGATCTGGATTAAACTAGATAGTTAATTAAAGTATGTAATCGACATCGTACTATATGTTTAGTACGTATTTCATGTTACAGTGAAAATACTGTACCTCCTGTATACAGGGCCGGATTTAAGTAGTGCGGGGCCCCAACCACAAAATTGTGTTGGGTGTAATTTAACAAAATGTATATTATTGAATCTTGCAACGATATTCGACGAAAATGTAATTTGTAATAATACAACTGACTAGAATATTTCCACATCTCTCTTAAATAGGCAACACAAACAAATGTGTTAATCACTAAGTTCGAAAATTGCATAAAAATCTTTTTCTGTTTTGTGAGGAGAATAAGAAGGATGCTTAATGTGAAAAAAAATAATATAAACATAGATAGAGCAGATGACTCGTGCCATCTTTTTTTATTTTTTGTGTTAATATGTATTATGTTCTTTCTCAATCTTGTGTGTAAACATTAAAATCGTGCGACCAGAACGTTTTTCTAAGAGTGTAAATGTATGTGTATGAACATTCTATTTTGAAAACTGTGTTCGTCGAATTTTTAATAAATTCTTCTCTTCATCATGTTATGCGTATTCGACACTTGATTTGAGATCTCACACAACACCATAAAATAAAAACCAAGATAATAATCCCAGAGATAACTTTGCGGAAAAGCAGACTAGTCGATGCTTGAATTTTGATCGGCAAACGTATAGCTTTGGTCATACTGGATCTTCAGTGCAACTAATTTTTACTTGAAAGTTAAAATAACTACTTTGCTGTATACAAAAGTATAATTATTCATAAAAAATATATTATAGATAAATGTATACACCTGTCGTTACTTGTTAGCGTATTCATACGTTTGCTTTAAAATATCTAGTTAAAAACTTGAGTTTCTAATGAAAAAGAAAATTCTGACCACAACGGGTTTGAAACTAATTCAATGAAAACTAAAGTAACATGAGAGTTTTAGAAAGTACTACGTGAAATAATTAAGTTAAAATCGCTATTATTTTACAAAAAAGATTTTAGAGGTAATAGAAACGTGTACATTGTAACGAACAAACACAGTACACAGCACAGAGCATCCTTGTGTGGTTGCCGGGGTTTTTTTGTAGAATAAGCGCCACGGGACTCCGCCTGTTCGTAAAAGGCGACTAAAAGGAGGCAAGCTGTCCGCTGTCCTTTTCCCCTAATAATCCTTACTTTTCCCCACCTAGTTTCCTCCCATCCCGGCAAGATCCAATAGGTGGATCTGAGGTAGCTTATGGGATCTTGCTCCCTATCCTACAAAAATCCCCTTCCTCACTTCTTTCCACTTCCATCTCTGCTGGCGGTAGCATATAAACGCTTAAGGGAAGGTCACCCGCGAAATAAACAGTGATGGGTATGAAGTGAGCTCAAAACTGTACTACCCCAACAGTCGAGCGGTTGACGCCGAATCTCGCCACCGATTCTGATCGGGTTTAAAGCCCCGATAGTCGGTGCCGGCTCATGGATTTTGGGGGGAGCAAGCTCACCAGTGTGTCTGGGAAGAGAACAGGAAGAGTGAAGTTTCTGAAGTTTGGGGAAGAAGATCGGGGGATCCTCCTGCATTTTGTCCTGCTAAAGGAATAATGTCCACGGGGGAGATAAAAGCGTAATGGTCAGTTCGATCGATCTGACTTTTGATGAGATGGTGGACATGGAGGACTCACTATCTGTAATTAGCTTGAGACAGTTGAGGCGGAGACGCAGACTTCACCTCAGACCATGGGTGTCGATCTGAATACTGAATGGTTATGAGGGCCCTCCGACAGCAGCACGGGAGGTGCAGCCCTACGGGGACATGTAATTGGCGCGAAGATGTTGAGGGCACGGACACGGACTCTGCCGCTGAACGTCGGGTGTGGCGCGAATCTGATGATCGTGGTAGGTCTCGGCGGCGGAGGTGCGAAGCCAGTTATATGATGTGATTTGGGCCCTGAGGACGGTGGAGGGTGGAGACGCAGGTTTTCACATACAGACCTTCTGATAATTGGCCCCGAATTGCTGTATGATTGGTGGTGGGCCCTTGACAGCGGGCCCGGCAGAGTTGCGGACCTACAGTAGGCGTGGACGAACTTCGTCGAGGAAAGGAGAGACGCTGAAATCTACAGGAGTGGCAGAGAAGAAGCTTATCAGAGTCGGGTGCAAGGGAAGGAACATTCAACATGCTGAGGTTCCTCAGGCACGTGCACAAACCGTCTGATTGAGACACCACAACCAAAATCAATGAGAATGAATTGGCATGTCGAAGGGAGAAGAGACGGAGAGGCCGCCGAAGCCGCACTCTTTATCGCCCGAACCTCGTTTCTTGTGTAAGGCAAATGACGGAGGCCCTTCCTTAATGCTGATATCTAAGGCAGATCAAGGGCGAGATCTCTGAAGATGCTGGTGAGAACGTCGCAAAAGGTGAGGAGGATGCAGGCTCGGAATACCTGCTGCTTGGAGTTGCGGAAATGCTGCAGCAGCCCTCCGAGATATCTTGAAGCTAATATCCAAAAACCTGGGCGAGTTGCAAGAGTAACGACGCGGAGAGACGGAAACGACTCTCGAGATTCGCGACCTTGACGAGCTTGACAACGGCGGCTGAAGTCTGTGAAAGCTGTAAGCAGGGAACTGAAATCACCTGTTGAGCTAGCAAGTGTCATATCCGTACGCAGGGCTTACAGAGGCACACAAACTGCAGTGTGGTCCGTCTACCGACGGAACTAGCCAGGCTATTGAGGAGGGCGTGTTCGCCATTGCGGTGGGTAAACTGCCGCGTTAGAGAGAAAGTAATTTGTGCGGAAGTGTTATCGTTGTTGGGCGTTCCGGACATCTGGCGCGCGACTGCCAAGGGACGGAACAGATCGAAATCCTGTCACCCGATGCGGAGAAGATCGGCCACTCGCGTCAGGCTTGCAAAAGCGCTTGAGGCGAAGGTGTGTTGCTCTGCAAAGATAAGAGGACACCCGACGGGGAGTTTCAAATTTCAGTCCGGCGTACCAAGTTAGCAATGAAGGCACGGATTAACAGAAAATGAGAGTTCTCCAGCTAAATTTAAATCATTGCGAGGCGGCCCAGGACCTTCTCACCCAGACGGTGCCGAGATGAATATAGATGTTGCAATTACTCTGCGAGCAGTACAGAAATATTGTCGGTCTTTCAGTCCTGGGTTTCGGATGCTACTAAACCGAGCTGCAGTATGGATTATGTGGTATAATCCGTCCAGGATGTTATGCAAGTCTCCAAGGATGGATTCACCTGGATCAAAGGGTTCGGTGTATATTTCTATAGTGTCTATGAATGCACCCAGTGCATCGCTTGAGGAGTTCGAGGGAATTCTCGGATCGCGTTAATAGATGACGTGGGAACGAGACGAAGGCCTCTTATTATTGCTGGGGACTTCAATGCATGGGCCACGGATGGGGCAGCAGAGTAACGAATCGACGCGGGGTGGCTCTCCTGAACAGCCTTGACAGTTTGATGTCTGCCTCTGCAACACGGGGCCAGTCCGACCTTTTGTAGATGAATGGTCGCAGCTCGGTCGTTGACCTAACTTTCGTCTGTAAAGCCTTGCTTAGAAATATTGTTCATGGGAGGTTAGTGCAACTTATACACATAGTGACCACCAAGCTATTGTGTATGAAGTGAAAAGACAGTGCCTATGTTGAGCTCACCAAGGGGTAGAAGGAAGCTGTTTGGAACCACAGGATGTTCGATCGTGATTCCTTCATTGCGATGATGGAGGGCAACCCTCAAGATATGTTGGCCGTGACTCTGAATAATATTTGTAGAAACCGTAATGCACGGGTATTTGACGCTTGTGATGCGTCAATGACCATAGGTCCAAGGAGAGAACGCCGTCCTCCAGTACTGGTGGACTGACGAGATCGCAGAACTTCGCAGGAGATGCCACCGAACACGGTAGATTGGCACAGCGCGCCTGGAAGCCGCCCAAACTATGAATTTCTCAGAAGCAACATCTGAACGCCAAGAGCTTTCACAAAAGCCATTAAGATTAGTAAGTGTCGTTGCTGCAGAGCGTAGGGGAGGAGGTGGATGCTGACCCCTGGGGACGCCCGTATAAGCTGGTAACGGCCAGACTCAAGGGTATGTGTTCAGGTGACCACCCCCATTGCCCGGTTTTCTTGGAAAAAGTTGTAGCTCTTGTTTCCTCGCCAGGTAGATATGCTTACAACGAAGGATCGTCTGGAAGAATCTAAGCGAGGTTCCGGCAGTCACGTGGATGAACTTTTCCAGAGCTTGCGGCAAGGTCCAAGATTGCAAAGCCCCGGATTAGATGGGGTACCAAATGTAAGCAATTAAGTACCGCTATTAGACTCGGCCCGATTCT